AGTTCTTGGTTCACATACTGCTGAAGCCTAGCTTTAGGATTTTGAGCATAACGTTGCTAGCATGTGAAATGAGCGCACTTGTGCGGTAGTTTGAGCATTCTTTGGCATTGCCCTTCTTTGGAATTGGAACGTAAACTGACCTTTTCCAATCCCATGGCCACTGTTGCGTTTTCCATAGCTCTAAGTCTGCATTAACTTTTAAAAAGTTTAAAAACTTTTAAAAAGTAGAAGCATAGTAAACTGATTTTACCATGGGATTGCATTGATGAGTGACTGTGTAATGTTTTAAGAATGGAAATAAATTATCAGATGAGGCATAGATAGAATTAAATATATTGAAAGCTTTGATAAAGATAAGCAATGGGAAAGGTATGATAATGACTGGAAAAATATTTTCACAAGTAAGTGTGCCTTAATCATATCAGACAGAGGTATATTTTAAAATCTATATCTGTTTTGAGATACATATTTAGCATTGAAAGTGGAAATTAATAACTCATTTATGTAAAATAGCAGAATGAGTATGGTGTGTAATCAACTCTCATAATTTACAGCAACAAAACATTTGAGGTTGGCTGGCCTACAAACACACTTTGAGTTAGTCAAAATATTGCATTTAAATAGGTGAAGCCATTTGGTGGCCTGCATTGTTACAAAAGCATTTTATTTTATTTTATTTTTTTTGTCTATAAAATGCTAATCAAGGCTTCTCACCCTTTTGGCTAAGATCAAGTCTAGTAATCAAGTTATGATAAAGAATTTATTCAATTTCACTTATAAGCAAAATAGAATATTTCAGGTTATATGAAAGGGAGCTGTGATTACTATCCATTGGAAATAGGGTCCCTTAATCTGTTCTATTAAGATAGTTATGTGTCCTTGCAACGATTCATCCCTTTAGGATTAGCATCCAATATCCTGACTATTTTTAGAGCACAGGTTCCAGAGTTTTGTAATGATGAAACAGGTTTTGCTAACACTTTGCTCTTCAGGTTGCATTCCATAATTCCTCACAAACTAGAGGATGACAAACTTCTGAACCTCTGAAATGCAACTGGCATTTTCTCAGTGAAATTTACTTATCAGTGTGAGGCTCTGTCAGATTAATCATTAAATCTTTCAGAAAGGAAACAGATTTTTTTTAAAAAAAATTCAGATAGTTCTTTGGAATCCCATGATCTTCACACTTGGATTGCACCTCACTTATGGTTGGGTTTTGACATTACCTCTAGATATACTAGTCAACTTATTCTTTTCCATTAATATTTCTGTTCCTTCCAGGGAATCCTCCAAAATTATCACCAAGTCATCAGCAAACGCTCATAATTTGTATGTATCTCTTTTAATCCTCACTCCAGCAATTCTCTCATCTCATCTTATGTCTCCATTCAATACTTCCAAAACTAAAATAAATAGCAATGGTGACAAGGAGCATCCTTGTCTTGTCCCTTTCTGCATCTCACAAGGTAGTCCCAATTTACTCTTTAGCTCAAATTCCTGTTCCCAGGTCCTGTTCTGTTCTGATCCTCACTCCAGATACATATGGCCCTGATTTGGCTGAAAGCAATATTGTAGTACTATATCAAGTATTTTTAAAAAATCAAATACTAGCCTGTTAGAGCACTTGCCACTTAAAAAGTTTAGTTTAAAGCCTGAAGTCCAAATTAACATAATGAGTAACTGGTGTAATCTAAGAGGCATAAACAAAGAAACCAAAGAACCTGCTTACTTCATAAAGTCAAACACTCACATCCACATCACACACACAGAGTTCTCGGCATGAATTATTCATTGAAAGAAATCTTGGTGTGCGCTCAAGGACACCACATAATTTTTAATTAGTTAAAAAAATTACCAATATGCAGCATGAGCAATAAAAGCTGTTACAATGGAGAAAAAAACCAAATTGAATATTTGATCTGAAATAATGAATAATAAGCAAATATAAAATGTGATGTGAGGTAGTGTTGACTAGTCATTCATCTTAGCCGATAATGGTAGAAAATACCATGAGACACTCAAAACAGAGAAGCCATGTGAACATCTGCAGTGAAGAAAGGAATTTATTCTGAATTAGATAGCATTAAAGCACAACCATGTAGGAAATAATAGGATTTTTGCTAATATGAGGTAGCTGTTGTCGTGGTAAGTTCCTTCCTTCCCTGCTTCTTATGAATGTTGGAATATTAGTATCCTGTCAGTCTTTGCCTAATTTGTAGACCAGCGGTTCCCATCTCTGAGCACCCCCTCCCTCAGATAGTACCCATTTGGTGATAACAGCTGTGACATTTTCCATATATTCAAGATGCACTCACGATCGGAAAAATTTGGGGATCCTGTAGCCTAACTGAACATTTCTAGAAAGAGCCTGAAAAACTGTTGCTTCCTAATGCCTCACACAAAATCAGCAGAACATTACATGTTTGAATTAGTGATATGAAGAGAATTTGTAATATACAATGTCATAGTTAATATTATACAGCCAATATGCAATCCGTGCTGTTTCAAATCCAGCAAATTGCCTGTTAGTGCAGGTGATGGTTCTTTGGACAAGGGGTATAATTCAATAAGAGAAATACAGTCACAAAACAGTCAACAAAGGAAAAACAAAGAAAATAATTCATTTTTCCCCCCTGCTCCAATAAAAAGTATTTCACAGGGAGAAAACCTGCTGAGAATAAAAGAACAGTGATTTCCCCAAGTTCTCTATAATATGGTGAAGTTTGGAGTCTAACTCCCAAACAAGCCACAGATTTCTTTTTCCCCATATTTTTCTTTGTGCTTTATATCTTTCTTGACATAACCCTTTGCTCTCATCTCATCATCCTTCCACTATGGCCTGGCTTATCCCAGCCCTCTACCATCATTTACTGCCATCTGTAAGCTTCTCCCTTTACCAGGCAATAGAATAAGGAAGTACAGTGAGTTAAAAAGTTTCTTGAACCCCAGCAGTGACAGGCCAGTGTTTCAATTTGAAATATTGTCAATGTGTCCCACCCCATCCCCCAAATTAAAAGCAACATATAATAAATGATAGGTAACAATGGGCTGTATGTGGGCTTCAGTGTCTCCATTATTTGTCCTGGGACTTATTCAAGGGGTGGATAATCAGATACATATCCAGGTGTAAAATAGGACCAGAACCAATCCAGTAAGAACATCTGTAATTTTCCCCCCCTTTTTTGTGTTATTTCTTTTCAGCTGTTCAGCTTTGTTTCTCTGCCCACTGATGTCCTGGAAATAGAGGTGAAGGACAAGTTTGCAAAAAGTCGACCGATCATTAAGCGTTTTCTGGGAAAGCTGTCCATGCCGGTACAACGGCTGCTAGAAAGACATGCCATAGGGTGAATCTTTGTGACGTGATTTTCTCTTTTTTATGTACCACAAAAGGAGAGTCACAGTTGCCACTGTGATGACACTTTTTGTGGGGGGAATCAGTAAATTAATATTAATTAATCGCCTTAATTTGGATAAATGTTTTAAATAAATGTTTATGTCAGGTTAATCATAGAAGAATTGACTTGGATGACATTATCTTATCCAACCTTCTGCTTAGCATAGGACCTTCAGGGCCTATAGATGATAGTCTAAATGATAGTCCAGATGACAGTCTAGCCTCTTAAATATATCAATCAAAAGAAAATCCATTCTGTTTTTCTCCAACTACTCTTTGTGTTAAATTAGAATGTTAAACCTAACTTTTCACTTAGGAAATGTCTACATAATCCAAGTTTTTCTCTCTCTTCTCTGATTTCTACGCATATATTATATAGCCATTTATAAAGAAAATAATTCAAATTTGATAGTATTTATATTTTAGTATGTATTATAATTAATAGAATGTATATAATCTGGCTTCAAGCATGGTTGGTCATTCTGTGCTCTCTATGTACAGGACAGGGATGTCACTTGGTTGAATACATTATGATACGTCAGTCCATCTACATCACAACCAAGGTCTTCCCATCCCTCACTGTGTAGTACATAGCGGCTTGCATTTCCATAGGCCACTGATTTATAGCATTAATGGCCATAGGGACAATTGCATTTGCAGAAATCTCATGGGGATGAGCCATTATATGCTTCAAATTCCTACAACATGGCCTTCTGTGCTCTATTTCCATGATAAATGTTGTTAATTCTGAAAAGGAAATCATAGTGGTGTTGGATTAAGAAAAAAAATACCTCACAACATTGATAATCACTTTACTAGAACCATGTTTATAAAGATAAGAATGCTGTGGTTGACAAAACTACTTCTATTCATCCTTGTGGCTCTCTGTAACCCACTGTCAGCACAAATCTGCTGTTCCACCTCTTTGCAATGACCAAATTCATCTGCCATTTTCTGGGTAGATTTAAGTGCTTTCACATGATTCCTTTGAATAATTGAAATGAAGAATATTTATTTCTATGAGACAGTATGCGATAGTTATACAGTACATGAAAAAATAACACTTTTTTTTTTTCAACAGGGACAGGGTTGTTAGCTACACCCTGGGACGTAGGCTACCAACAGAGCATGTCAGTGGCCAGCTGCAGTTTCGATTTGAGATAACTTCTTCAATCCACCCAGGTATCTTCCTACAATACTTTCCTTTATCAAATAGTGCTTGGCTTCACTTAGGCCCATTTAACCCATTCACCAAGTCTGATTCAGGTAATGGACTGGGAACTGGAGGCTTTCCCTTTCCCTTTCTTTTCACACAAGAGAAGAAGTGAATCGCCAAATTGATAGGTTACATGGAACTGAAGTTGGTTTTCTTTCATTTTCCTCCAGTCTGAGAAGACCAGTTGATGATGGGGGAAGGGCAGTCTTCTAAGTCATAACTTGAGGACATGCTGAGTTGTGAAGCAAAGCAAGCATTATAGATCAGAATAGATTCCTAGTTTTCTGCTTGTTCCTGAAACACAGAACATGTGATAGCTTACATTCTTTATTTAATCCTGCCTTGCATATTTTGATTGATGCATCATAATTTCAAACACTTTCTGCATGTTATCTTCCGATCATGCTAAAATTTCAAATATTGTACTTACCAGCCAATGTGATACAGTGGATAGAGTGCTGGACTTGGAAAGAGGAAATCAGCGTTTAAAGGTCTGATTAAATCTGAAATTCACTTAGTAGTTCTTTTGAGGAGGCCTGAGTAGAGTTCATCCAAGGTGGCTCCCCTTGTCCATCAGGCTTGCCTGGTGGGGCTTAGCCATCATTTTGTCCACAGTGTACCTTTCAAATAGTAGCTAGGTTCATATACCCAGTGCTGTTTTAGTAGGGCTAGGAAGAAAGCTGATGCACAGGTCAGTTTTGATGTCTGAAGCTCTTGGATGAAGGATGGAATACAGATATGTAGACCAAAACCAGCATTCAGTTGTGTGTGGTGAGATAATAAGAGAATGATAGCCAAAATGGTAATAAATTACATCTGTGCATAATCATTTATAGATTTCTATTTATTAGGGCTGTGGGCCTTTCAAAAATTATTTGGAAGAAGTGTTGTAGACCTCCTGTGAGCCTGAGCACAGCACCACTCCTGCCATTCATTAAACACCTCGTCTTTTTGCAGACTTCCATGTGGACCTGGGGTGGGGGGAGGGGACTACAGCTGCTTTTAAGTTAACTCCTTGTGCAGAAGCCTGAAAAAAGTGGAGTTGTTTAAATGAATAATACTGTACCCATACTCACATGAGATCCAGAAAAACCTCTTTTGTGTCATCTTCAAAGGATCACAGTCCTGTTGCTTATGCAGTTGAATCTGCATGAATTAGCAAGAAGCAAAATCATGGTCAGGGATTCTAATCATGGTTAGGGATTCTGTCTATTTGTAAAAGGGAATCAAGGGGATTCTTCTATAGCATATTAAAACATACATAATAAGCCTATAAACTATTATAGGAAAGTGTAATATTGATAAATTAAAGTTAAGATCATAATTCTTATTTATTATATGTAAACATAAAAATAATATGGTAACAATGCATCTTGGTAGTCATACCTGCATTTTAAGATAGTCTGCATAATAATCCAGTAAAGGTGCATATTGAGTTCAGTAAGATAATACTCCTATTTAGGTTTAATCTTATTCAGAGTATATGTTTTAAATCAACAAATGCAAACACATTCAAAAAAAGTAATCAAATCAATTTTGCCTTTTAGTTCTGAACTACTTCCTAAAGAAAATTACTTAATAATTACTTGATATGACCATTTAAAATTTGGATTTATATTTAAATAGAGATTTTACAGAGAGGTATTTTGTAACTAAAGATTGAACAAACTGTATGTTAATTATATATTATTTCAAGTTATATTTTTACTATTTAGAAAATGGAACATTTACTTATTCATTTTACAGTGTCCCAGAACTCAACAGAGACACTGTTTAGGACATAATTTATTGTATACTCATTCAGCATTTTAACTTCACCATGTCTTGTGAAACCAGTTATATTAAGACAATAATAAGATTAACTACACACAGAAAATAAAGACACACATTACAGTCTGAGTCAAAATGGGGATTTTGTTGGCTTCTGTTTCTCATGCATGCATATGAAAACAGTGAGAAATATCATTTTGCCTTAATAATGCAACTGAACAATTACCATGTATATAGCTCTTTTGATTAGTTCCATACACAGCTGAAAATAAATCCCATTAAACTCTGTTGGACTTATTTCTGAGTAGACATGTGTAGAATTACACTACTAACCTTAATAGGTTGATATTTTACACATAGATCTCTTTCTCTCTTTTTTTTTACATTTTTACATAGGAAAGCAGTCCTTAATTCACAGTTCAATGCTATGCATATCTACTCAGAACAAAATCCCATTGTGTTCAATGGGACTTACTCCAAGGTGAGTATATATAGGCTTTTAGCCTATTTGATAATGAATCATGGATTCAGTTTTAAATAACAGAAAATTCATATCTTGCTTAATATGTTAAGCATTTTAGTCTACATATAACGTTCAAAACTATTTGATTTAACAAATGCATTTAATCTACTTGTTACTAATGTATGTGAGGTGCATCTTAGTTCTGAGCTGTAGTTAACAGATGCTTGTATATATTTCTGTAGGATTGTTGAAGCCTCAAGTTGATATTATTTATACTTCTTTTTGTTTATGCTTCATGTTTTATTTTCTTCTTGCTTCTAGCAGATGATGAAGAGGTCTCCATTGCTGCAGATCATGAATCAATTGAATTCCAAGAAAGCCCCATTAATATCTCAGCAGAGGAAATCCTTAGTGAGCTTCCATGCACCAGCACAGTGAGCTCAGAAAGTGCAGCTCCAGAAAAGCTAAATGAATGTCAAGTAATCTGCATCAGTGTTGGCAACTCTGGAGCTGGGGAGCCCACGTTGAACTGCTTCTTCACAGAAGAGCTAGCAGGAAATAGAGAGATTGATGTCGTACCAGCAGACACAGTTAATCTCTTGGAATCCATCCCAGTGGAAATAATGCCTTCCCTGAATGCTATGGACCTCAGTGAACCTTTGCTGGCATGCACGCCTCCAGAATCTGAAGTTAGAGAAAACAATAAAGTTAATTCTGTTACTCAGGGAGACAATGACATAATTATCAACACAGAAGCCTTATCTATTGATGAGATGAGTGGAGATGCTCAAGTTGTCAAGGATCTGGACAAGAGTCAGGATGACGAAGGGGCCTCAGCCCAGGAGGACCAGGATGAGAATGATGGTGAAAAGGAGAGCAAGCTACAATTACGGACCATGGTGAAAAGAAAAAGCAGGCCTTGTTCCTTGCCTGTGTCAGAACTTGAAACAGTGATTGCATCTGCCTGTGGGGAGCCTGAGACTCCTCGTACGCACTACATAAGAATACACAATCTCTTGCACAGTTTGCCTTCTGCCCAGCTGAGCAGTGATGATGGAGAAGGGGAGGAGGAACAACAAGGCAGTGTAATAGAGAATGATGAGGAACTGACAGTGAGAGAAGTGTCAGAGAAGGATTTAGTTAGTGAGACTGAAACTGTGTTGGCTGAACCTCCTCTGGAAAACTCAGTGGAAGGGAACTTTGTTCGGGGAACTGTTCCACGCAGCACCTCCATTGAACACCTTGCTGATTTAAATGAACAAACATTGGATAATGAAGGGCCAAGAACTGAAAGTGACAGTGATCTGAGTCCTAGACCAAATGGTGACCCTGAGTGTGAAATGTGTGACACATCCTGTTACAGCACTTCTTGTTATAGCACTTCCTGCTATAGTACCTCCTGTTACAGCACTTCCTGTTACAGCACTTCTGGTCCAGAGAGTGCCAATCGATTCTCAAGCCATACTAGGTTCTCTTCTGTTGACAGTGCAAAGATTTCTGAGAGCACAGTTTTTTCTTCACAAGATGATGAGGAAGAAGAAAATAGTGCTTTTGAATCAGTGCCAGACTCAGGTCAAAGCCCCGAGTTGGACAGGGAACAGCTGGATGGCTCTACCCACTGGCCTGAGGAATTGGTAGTTCATGGAACAAGTCTACAGGGAACTGCAGAAAGTATAGAGTCTCCAGTAGCAGGCCCAAGCATCAGAAGAGAAGGTTAGACTTGGAGGAGGAGGACCTTGAATATCTTTACTTAGGCATTACAACAAATAATCAGTAATCAAGATCTTATCATATAGAGAAATCTCCTTTTAATTTAGGATATAAGATTTAAAAACCTGCTTTTAAATGCAGGCATGGGAGTTGAATGTTCTTTTTATTGTGCTTTCATGATAATATGGAGAAGAAATGAGTTTCCAGATGTATAGTGTGTAGGAGATGTAGAAAGATATGGTTGCCACTTTGCAGTCCATTCACTGAGCACTTACCATTTTTCTCTGCTCCATGGGTCCATCCCTACTTTCTCTCTTACTGAGTGATACACTCCAAGTCACCTGCTTAATGCAGCAAGTGATAAAAGGGGAATTTAATCCTGGACTAGAGAAGAAACTAAGAGGCTTGTGGCAACCTTATTCACTCATCTTCAGGAGATTTTCAAGCATAGATCTGGTGGCTATTTAGAATTGCCAGGCTATCTAATTTACCCTTGAACTTGAATATATGTGACATGTGTTGGACTTACTGTATGTCACATAATGCCAGCAATATAGTCACTAACCACGCTGGCTGGAATTCTGACTTACAAAAGATAGTGCCAGCTTGGAGAAGACTGCACTTACATCCTTGACCGGTGTTTTAAGTTGCTGTGATTTACAAGTGGGAATTTCATTGACTAAAATTCTGTGTGCCAGTAGCTAAATTCCTTTTTTGTTTTTTATTATTTCCTTTTTCAACTACAGTAAAATTTACTCATAACTTGTTCTGGTTTCATGGCAATAAAAACAATTCACCTGTAGGAAGCAATGTAAAGTGGATGAATTAAGGCTAGGCTACAGTAGTGAAATACTGTTATCCCAAATAACATGGAAAATTGCATGTTTAAGTTTCATCTTACAGCTTCTCCTTTCCTCCTGTCTCCTGCGCCTTCCAGTTTAATATCTCCTGCAAGCCCCCCCCCAAAAAACCCTAATTCAAATTTCATTGAATTCAGGCATGCAAACTCTGTTTTGATCCTTATTTTTATAGTACTTCTGCATCAAGTTTATTATCTTGATGTTTATTTTACTACAGGAGAGCAAGATACATTTTAAAAATAATTAATTTGCTTTTCCTTTGGTGTATGGTTTACAGATAGTCACAGTGTATAAGCCAAGGAATTGTAGAGCTAAACTGATGTTGGCCATAGCTGCAGTAACAATCTGGCATGCAATTGTCTGCTGTAATTGTACTGTACGTGGCTGGTTATTACTGGAAACTAACAGAATGATTCTTTGACCTAGCAAGGAAATTCGTATGTAATTATTTGTCATCAAGATCACAGGAGTTGATGCTGGCAATACCCACAAATTCCTTGCCCATTCATTGTTTACTCATATGACCTCTACCTAGGAACTATTTAGGGGGAAAGTAAATGAATTTATTTATTTACCCTGAGCCTCTTTTGCAGCTAATCTCTACTGTATCACTAACCCATGCTCTGAGAGATAATCCTTTTTTTAAATAATAATTTTTATTGAAGTTTAAAAATACAAAGATAAAAAAACGAATACAAACTAAGAAAAATATAAAAAAGAAAAAGTGCAGAAAGAAAAAGAAAAAAAAGGGGGTAGAAAGTATAAAGGAAAAGGAAAAGAGAGTTAATCCTATAGTGGGGAGAAATTGCAGCATGGTCTTCTTAACAATAAGATCAGCACCATTCCCAGTTTTATGAGGTTTTGGAACAATATGTTCTCAGAGGATACATCCCCACATCTGGACTACTTCCCCCCTCTTTGCTGTTTCTTCTTGCCCCCCATCCCACATAGACACAGTCAATGTACAGTGGAGGGGAAACAAAATATGAAGAAATCACAACATACTGTATTCTCCATCATCTCGTGGTTCACCTGCTCACTTATGACAGTGAGGAAAAGAAAAAAACCAAAGAAAAAAACCAAATCTCCTAGAGATCTCTGTGCCTTGACAGGAGTTCAGTGTTAACACCAACTGAGTTTACATCAAATCGAGTCTAATTTGATAAGATACTGTCAGTAGCATTGAGGCAAGTAATCAAGACAATAGAACAGAAGCCTGGTGATTGGCAATTGAGCAATCCCTGAAAAGACTGCTTGCTTTTGATGGAACTTAAAACAAATTTTAAAATAACATTTCATGTGAAGAAGTATGATTCATTACTATATTTTCACTTAATGGCTTCTGCTTAGACATTTGTTTTTGTGACTGTGGTATTTTGCAAGTACACTACATACAGCAGTGTTGTCCAAACTTGGCCGCTTTAAGATGAGTGGACTTCAACTCCCAGAATTAAAGATCATAAACTATATATAAGTTTGGGGGGGAAAAACCCCAGCTCAATATTTTTAGGCAAGGCATTTAATTAAAAACAACAATAAATATTTCCATTACATTTCAATTTAAAATGGCTGTTACGACTAAAGTTTTAAATATTCTATATATTTAAAACAATTTTTAATGGCTGGTCTCGGTGTGGAAGAGCAGGCTGTTGAGGGACAATTGCAGGCACCTGTGTGCCTCCCGCTCATCCCATTCCAGCCTTCTCCCCAGTGTCAGCCTGGCAGAGTTGCCAATGAAAGCTGCAACCTTGAAACAGGTGGAAGAGGAGAATGGAGGAGAAGTGTGTGTTTGAGAGGCTCTGCAGCAGCAACAGAGTCCAGCAGAAAAAGGTGTTTTTCCTTCAAAGGGAGTGAATAGTCCAGAGGAAAAGAAGTATAGAGGCACAGCAAGGAAAAGTGCAAGTGTAAAAGCACAACGTGGGAAGTTGCAAGTACACTACATACAGCAGTGTTGTCCAAACTAGGCCGCTTTAAGATGAGTGGACTTCAACTCCCAGAATTCCCCAGCCAGCCATGCTGGCTGG